CAAACGAAGAAGTTATAGTCTAATGAAGTTGAAATGATAAATTCCCGAGGTGGATGACGTGACAGTTGAATCCTACATTGACGAATAGAAAAGGACATGTGGCGAGCTGAATTTTTTAGTTTATAAAATAAATGAGAAAGAAAAAGAAAAGAGAAAAAAATAAAATAAAAAAGAAATAAAAAAAGGAAGAAAGAAATTTAAAAAAAAATCTTACCGTTGGGTTTTTAAAAAAAAAGAAAGAAAAAAAAGAAGAAGGTGTCAGCGGCGTAGGTAGCCGCATTGGAAAAAAAACAGAGGAGGAAAGAAACGAAAGAGCCGTTGGGAGGTTGATTTATATTATTATTATTATTATTATTATTATTATTATTTTATTCAATTAAATAAGAACCTTTGATTTTTAATCATTTCAAATCCAATGGTCGAAATTTATATCTGTTTTGATTTTTCTTTCAATTTTTCCTCCTCTATCTAAACCTCACTTCCGTCAACATTTTAACAACAATTTTCCTCCCCAATTTTCTCTCCAATCTCTTCATGTTTTTCCCTCCAAAATTTCAATGTTCTTATAATTTATTTTGAGATAGATTTTTTTATTTGAGAGATATTTGAGCTTCCAATTTTATTTCTTTTAGTCAAATTGAAGGCTTTTATTTGTAAGAATTTTTCTTACAAATTTTTGAGCAAAAATTTGTATACCCACTCTTTGAGAGAGTTTGTAAGTTTGTTCTTAAATTTTCATATTATTTGTAAGGGTTGCTCTTGAGCCCGAAAAAGAGCATTTGTAACGGTTTGATCTTGAACCGTGGAAAGGATCGAGTTTCTTCTTGCTCCCAGAAAAAGAAGACTTTGTACCGGTTTGACTCCTACCGTGGAAAGAGTCAAGTTTCTTAGTGGAACACCAAAAAGGAGCATGGGAAGTGGAGTAGGTCGGTGTTGCCGAACCACTATAAAATTTTCGGTGTCATTTTCTCTAACCGTGCTCTATTTAATTTTTGCAATTAATTTTCTTTATTAGAAATTGCATGAAATTAATTGCTATAATTTGTTATTCATATTTATGTGCAATATTTGGATGGTGAAATTAATTAGGGTCTTTGTATTTCTAATTTATTGTTTAATTTGTGATCAAATTAATTGTTCCTAAAAAGTTTACTTATTTGTTTAATTTGGGCACATCGTAGTAAAAGGTTTAAAAAGTTTTATTAAACCCTATTCACCCCCCTCTAGGGTTGTCATACCGATCCAACAGCTGTTGCTCTGGCAGGTCAAAAATTCAGCTACTCTGCTCATCATTCCTTCCAATTTTCAACTTGCTTTGGGCGTTTGCAATCGATTCCTCTACCTCACTCAACTCCAGGGCTTTACCCTTTCAAGGATCCCTACGAGGGGCGGCGGGTTCACTTCTCGATGTTCCAATTGCTGGAGTAGTCGGGACATGTGTTGATACGTTCCCTCAACCTTCTCTTCTAGAGCTGCGAACTTGCCCTCGACCTGCCCAAGAACTTCAACCATAGGGATCTCAACCGGCTCCCCTATACGTTATAGAACTTGTCGATCATTATCTCTAGGAGTTTGTTCGACAATCTGCCGGCTTGTGTCGCCTTCAACTCCTCCTAGTAGGGGGTTATCCATTCAGCTTCCTCCTCGAAGGGCAATTCTCATTAGAGCATCGTGGACTTTCCTCCAGATTCATGTTGCTCGGTCGTATGGTTTGTATCATTCCCACAGACGACGCTAATTGTTGATGCTGAAAATTTGGCCTCCTTGGTTCTCGCCAAATGTGCACCAAGCTCAATAATCACGAGACCAAATACCTGCAAAACCGAACAACCCTAACTCGGTGTGACTCCAGTCACACTAGCTCCGATGCTTAAGTCAGCGATGGGAGAATTACCAAGTGAAGTACTTAGGGTTTATTTGCTTACCTCTAGGGTTCAGCCAGTGGTTCTATAATTTATAGGAGTCTTGCCTTTTAGAACCTTCTCGTTGAACCCATCTATACGATGTCACTGGATCAGAGGGATTCATAATCAAGACACCTCAACCAATGGGAGATGAGAGAAAGTGGCCTCGGCCAACGGACCGAGCAGAGGGTCGGGACCGAGCCCTGGCTCGCTCGGTCTGTCGCTGGGTTTGGGCCTCTCTGGTCTGTGAGGCCCATTTCTTTGGCCGGATCCAATCCCATAACATCTTCCACCATTATTTCACCACTGAACTTCAAGTTACATTAATATTCTATTAATGTATAGAAGTGTTTTCTTTTCACCATTTTTTTTTAATAAATAGTATTTTTTTAATCTTTTACTATGTTAATATACTAGTATATTATCATAGCACGTGATGATATACTAGTATATATAAACATATAGATTTTTTAGTTTTCAATGCTCTCTCTCTTTTTTTGTTGAAAGAAAAGGCTAAAAATACAAGAAAAGAACAAATCCGCAATTAAAAGAATTAATAAGGAAAGAAGAGTATAAACAACAAGTCCAATGTCTATGTTTAAGTGATCTGATCCAAATCCGATCCACATCCATCATGGAATATGATCGATTCTTATTTCCTTTTCAATTAATCCCTTCTACAAAAATAGAAGAACACCACCAAGAATCACTCGAAGAACTTAATTTGTTCAATCGAATAAGAATCAATTTAGACAACTTACTTCTCTGAACTCGAGTCTAGCTTGAAAATGGAGGTTTAGTGCCAACTAGGAGGTGCCAAATCCGAGCGGCAGCGATGGGTGAGATTGGGTCCCGGTGTAAACTAACTAGCGAGGGATTCGAGTTCTACTCTTTCACTACCGCTTTTGGTTGCTGCAGAGGCTAGGGTAACCTACAATCATATGCCTATGTGTGATTACAATCCTAGAGAATATTTACCAACTTACTTGCATTATGGGTCAAAGGGCCTATGTCTAGGACCATGTTTTATGCGCTTATGCCTAAGTCACATCCTAGATTGGTTTCCTATTATTTTATCTAAGTCACTTTTTCCAAGGTTGGACTTTGGTGTAGGGCTTTGGTGTATAAATCAAGTTCCCACCGGCTGAATGAAAAAAAGATGTAAAGAGAAGTTTTTAGAAACTAACCCAAAAAAGTATCAGGCACAATCTGGCCAAAATCCCGAGCGTGTCGAAAACAAATTATTTTGACTAAGGTATTCCACAAAGAGGTTGATAACTAATTTAGAACATAATTAAAGGTAAGTAAATGCACAAAAACATAAAGAAAGTATTTTTCATTGAATTTAAATGAATAAATAAGTCGTACAATGAGTTCTAGCTTGACCCTCTTCTCTCTCGAGTGTGAGGGGAGCTGAAACACGCTAAAGAATTTTAAAAGAACAGAATAAACAAAGAACGAAAGTAAGAACTTGAATTAAAAGCAATACAAAAGGTAAAAGCGTGAAAAACAAAGAAATGAACAACTAGAACATAAACATAAACTCTAAAAACGTGTTCTACAACTAGAAAGCAACTAAAAGAAGATGAAATGAAGCTAGGAAGGGATGGATTTCTGTTGGAGGGATGACTTCCTTTTATAGCACCATAGGTTGGTTGAAACTCCCCACCATTTTAGGTGGAAATGAGTTGAGATTCACCTAACCACCTTACTTGGACTTGGACTCACGGTTTGTGATGTGTTTGAACATATGGGAAATGTCCTCCTTGCCATTCATTAATCAAAACGTGCGTTTTGCCATTTTATCCTCCAAAAATGCGTCGGGCGCAATTATGCAAAAACAGATTTCTGTTATTTTCAACTTTGACCGCATTTTTCTCATATTTTCCCTAAAGTACCATAGTTTGATTTTTATACAGAAATAATCTATGCATGTTTTACCTTAAGAATATGTGGGTCTTTTTGGCAAATAATCATGGGAAAGATGTCAAAAACGTGGTCAGGCCTCCCGACACATGTTTATGTAGTAAAAAGTCAACCCTAACAGCCAACCAACCAACTGCCCCATCGCTAAAATCGACTGACCAACCTCGGCTTCGGTCTATTGGGTCAGTTTTGCGTGCACTTATGTACACCCCTAAGGCCACCCAGCAGTTGTCCCACTCTCTATCAAGAATTCCTCTTTTGAAACCCAACCCCCAGGTGCAAAGATACTCCTTCCAATACTCAACAATGTAGGCATCCTTTTTAATTGTTATACTAAAAAGCTTCCAATATAAGACCTCCAAAGAAATAGGGAATCCCAGTCAAAGGACCGGACCCTTCCAAAATATGATATTTTGATCACTTCTCTCGCCTTGAAAATAATGAGATTAAAGAAGGTCGAACTGAAATTCGTTATATCCACCCACGGTTTGCCTTTGATAGTTCCTTTTGGTTGAAGAGTGGAGCAACCAAGTTAATTTTAACCATCTTTCCACGTCAGAAAGTACCTTTTTCGAGGCTTTAAAAATGGAGAATTCATTTTTAATAACTTTTGATTTCCATGTCCGCAAATTGGAGACGAGAGCACCTCTACCTTTTTATTTCCTTCAAAACAGCTTCTCTATTAACTTTTTGTCGCAACAATAGTGGATGGATCGGCTTAAGGAGTCACCAACAAAAATAAAGAGAAAGGGAGAAACAGAGTAACATCTAAACATTTTAACATTTCATTTTATCTCCAAATTTTTACAGGTGTAATTTTTTTTTCTAATTTTTTTGACATCGCATCAAATATGAGTTTTAAAAATAATAATAATCAAATAGTACAAAATTCACTTATTGCATCGAATATAATTTATCTTCGTGTAAATATTGATGATGGATTTAACCTCCGATAAAAAAAAATACCTTGATTATATTTCAATTATTCGACAAGTTTAGTAATGATCATAATGACCATATCATTCCGATCGAGAAAAGAACTTATGATTAGGTTTTCGAAAAATTTTCAAATGAACAGTTTCAATGGAATCTTTCAATTTCTTGTTTTAGTATGTTCAAGTCTATGTATTCATTCTACTGTAGCATAGTTTTTCTTAATGATATTCTCTTTTTACAAAATGTTTTTAGAAAAACATACGAATTTTGACTACCCAAAACCCTAGCTTCGTCTTCTTGTTCACCTTCTCTCTCTAAATTCAGCCACCACACCACCCTTTTCTTTTTCACTCTGTCCATCTCCGCCGACGAACGGCCACCTCGACGTGTCCTCCCGCGGCGGCGACAGACCCTCGGCCCCTGTGCGAACTTCTCTGCAACAGCGATTCACGGCGGCGCTTCAAGCACTGCGGCCGACGATTCCCTTCTAGCAAATCCATCAACTCCGTTCGATCAGAGCTGTGTGGTGTTTTATTTACTATTTAATAATTTTGCATGCTAGATTATGTCAAAGCTGATGTAATAAGGTGCCCTGTTTATTAGGAATCGAGTCTTTTGAGGATATTTGTATATTACTGATGGCTGCTTCATCATCCCTTCTGACATACTCATTGCAAGGTCATGTGTCCACTCCAAACACAATAAAATTCCGTGAAGGATTTATGTATGGTAACTTATACTCATCCACCAACTCCAAGTACCTGACAAATCCCAAGTTCTTACATAATCGGAATTCTTCAAAATTGGAAAATTTTGACAAGTCTTCAGTAAGGAATGAAATCCTGTGCCGAGCCTTGGAAATTGAGAATTCAATTTCTCCTGTACTAGTAAGCAAAAAGTTTGAGCTTGATGATGTGATTGAAGCTCAACAATTCGATAGAGAGACTCTCAATTATATATTTGATGTTGCACTTGACATGGAGAAGATTGAAAAGGGTTCATCTAAAAGCCAAATGCTGAAGGGATATCTGATGGCTACTCTTTTCTATGAGCCCTCTACTAGAACCAGGCTTTCTTTTGAATCTGCCATGAAAAGGTTAGGTGGGGAGGTGTTGACTACTGAAAATGCACGGGAGTTTTCTTCAGCAGCTAAAGGAGAGACCCTTGAAGGTGATTCAAGATTGATTGCATTTTTTGACCTCCTTTTTGTTCCTCTTCCTATAGCAAATTAATCTTCATTTGCATGCACTTGATTGCAGATACTATCAGAACTGTTGAGGGCTACTCGGATATAATTGTGATGCGACATTTTGAAAGTGGCGCTGCTAGGAAGGCTGCAGCAACCGCTAGCATTCCTATTATTAATGCTGGTGATGGTCCTGGACAACATCCAACTCAGGTTTGTTAGCACCTTTTTCCTTCTTATGATGTTTGTATGGATATGTAACATGCAAATAGTTAGAAAGTGTTAGAGCATATGATTAACGGTTACCATGAATGGTTGAAATTTGAAAACAGTTGGTTCAGTTTTGGCAGCATCTACATTTGCTTGCTTTGCTGCTGAATTTCATGCAAAACTTCAAGGAAGAAATATGAATGCTGGTCTTTCAGCGCGATTGATTCCGATTAGAACCCTTGATTATCAATATGAAAGAATAAACTGAACAAGTATTGACTTAATTTTAGGGTCATATTAAAAAGACACATCAGAAAATAAAGGGTGAGTTTGAGCTGACTTATTTTAAATGAAAACACCTATTTTGAAGGCACTTTTGAAAGAAAAACTAATTGTTTGATTCTCCTAAAAGCACTTTTGATTGTTCTTTTAGTGAAACTTTCAAACCACTTTTGTATACCCTTTAAAAAGTGATACAAAACCCACTAGAAGTATGGCTTCAGAGCTTCTTTTGCTAAGCTTTGCGAGAATTTGGAATTAACGCCGTCAGTAATCTTCTGCTTATGATGGATATCTTCATTTCCTCTGAAACCCTGTGGTTTCTTCTTGCAGGCTCTTTTAGATGTTTATACCATTCAGAGAGAGATAGGAAAACTGGATGGAATTAAAGTTGGGCTTGTAGGAGATCTTGCTAATGGGAGAACTGTACGGTCACTTGCATATCTGCTCGCCAAGTATCAAGATGTGAAAATATACTTTGTCTCTCCAGATGTTGTAAAAATGAAGGTAACTTCTGAAGTTAAAATCTAATATTATCTGCTGACACTCTTTGTTGTGCCATGCTATTGGGAAGCAATGTTTGAGAAACGAATACAGGATAAGCTGGGTAGGATTTACTTATTACTATTTCAAAAGTAAACCGAGGAAGTGAAAACCGTAAAAAGTAACCTATAATTTTGAATCCTTGAATCATTAGACTTGTTCGTTCATCTAGGATGATATAAAAGACTATTTGACATCACAAGGAGTGAAATGGGAAGAATGTGACAACTTGATGGAAGTTGCGTCGGAGTGTGATGTGGTATATCAAACTCGTATTCAGCAGGAAAGATTTGGAGAGAGGATCGATCTTTATGAACAAGCTAGAGGGAAGTACATTGTGGATACGAATGTGTTAAAAGTGATGCAGAAAAAGGCTGTGGTCATGCACCCTCTGCCAAGGCTTGATGAGGTAACAGAGATGAATCACAAGCATTTTCTAACATCTTTAGCACAGCACAGTCCATCTTGTGTCAACAACTTTACATTGTTTTGCAGATCACTGTTGATGTAGATACCGATCCGAGGGCTGCCTACTTCCGACAAGCAAAGAATGGTCTCTATATTCGGATGGCCCTCGTGAAACTCTTGCTACTTGGTTGGTGAAGAATGCCATCTCTCTAAATTTTCATTACTATAGCTGTAACCCCCTTTTGCTAGGAAAATGAGTCTTTTTTTTTTCTTTTTTCGGTTTAAGAATAGGCATTTAACATTGCCATTTCTGTGTTTAGGGGGTCCAATTCATCATTCCTTTGTGGAAAGTCATGATGACTTAATAATTTCTAATTTCAAGTCTGTGTTTCTATTTAGACTTGAACCTCATGTGTGATGGCATCTTTTTACCAATCTCCTTGGCTTAGAACAAGCTGTTTTATTTGGTTTTAGTCGCTCCACAGTTCACGACCTATTCCTATAAGATTCTTTTATCTTAAACTCTTCTTTAGGAATTTCATCTCTATTATTATTTTTCCATCAAATAATCTCTCCAAATTTGATAAGAATCCTCCTGCTTTCATCTAGACTTACTTCGTAAATGCCACTCTAATTAATTTTAATCTTCAAAATTATTAAGTTAATATTTTTTGCCAATTCATCGAAATAGAGTTTAACAATTTAACCAATGCCTAATACTAAATAGAAAACCTATTCTAAACTTCGTAATGCCTACAAAAAGAAAGGAAGTTAAAATAAGGTGCAGTTTTTTGTTTTTTCCTTCTCTTTTTCAAATTAAAGGGAAAAAACAAAAAGGGAAAAGGGAAAAGAAAGGTTAATGTTGAGCTGACTAATAGCCTTTTCACGTGCAAATTTGAGTCCTAAACTTTCAATATTAAAAATTGAGTCCTAAACTTTCAATATTAAAAATTAAATCCTTAAACTTTGATAAAATTGCAACCTTAGGTTTAAATTTTCAATGGAAAAATTAAAACCACAAATTAAAAAAAAAAGGAACGAAACTTATTGTACCAGATGGAACCACGTTGCCTCCATTCATGTTAGTCCTCTCGAACAAGAAGATTTTTTTTTTTCCGAAGAATCGAACAAGAAGATTAAAAACTTGCCGATTTTACTGATTCTTCTTCTGAAATCGAACAGACTGCTCAGGTTTCAGGGTTTAAGCCAGGGATTTAATTGGATGGGTGCTAATTTATCAAATAGATCCAATTTTTTGAAATTAAAGTTTAATTTTTACAATTATAAATTTTGAGGGTGCAATTTTATTATTGTGAAAGTTTAAGGATTTAATTTTTGACTATTGAAGTTGAGGGTCTAATTTCTTCACTTATTAAGTTTGAGAGTTTAATTTTTACAATTTTATGGTGTAATTGTAACAACTACCGTATTTCAGGGGTGGTAGGTGCAATTTGCCCTATTTTCTTTTAATCGCTCATGTGGTCTTCTATTTTTGACCGTGGAGCTTCAAGCTTCTTTTTTTATTATTTTATCATTTTGTCTTTTTACCCAATTGAATCTATACCCTTCATTATTTACCAAAATCTAAGGACCCAAAATTAATTTAATTTCAAACCTATTTCAAACTCGATTTCTTCTTATTTAAAAAAATCTTCCTCTTCTAAAATTACACAATAATTTTCTCTCTTAATTGTTCATATTTCTAAAGCTTCTATTTTTGTTCTTGTGAGACATTTTTGTGCTTTCAACTTTATTTCTTTTAGCCCTGTGAGAGATTTAATTTGTAAGAATTTTTTTTACAAATTTTGAGAGATTAAATTTGTAAAACCCACTCTTTTGAGAGGGTTGAGGTTATTCTTTTATTTTCAAATATTGTAAGAAATATGAATACGATTGAGTTTATTCTTGTTCCTGGAAAAACGTGTTGTACCGGTTTGACTCGTATCGTGAAAAGAGTTAGGTTCTTCAATCGAATACCAAGAGGAGTTCGGGGGATGGAATAGACCAATTTTGTCGAACCACTATGAAATTAATTTTCAGTGACATTTTCATAAAGTTAATAATGAATGTTTGCATTTCTAATTTATCGTTTAATTTGTGATATATAATTTTTTTTTCTGATAGTGAAAATTTATTAGTTTGTAGAAGTGTGTTAATTTGATTAATTTGACCCATCTTGTTAAAAAATTTATTAAAATTTTATTAAACTGTATTCATCCCTTCTAAGATTGTGGTACCGATTCAAGAGAGGCTAAAAGGTGGAAGCGATGGTAACTGAGGCTAGGTTGTTGGTGGGCTAGGCATGAACTTGTGAGGCTCTCCATGGGCTTTGACCATCTCTTTGGGAGGTTAAAGGCATGGTTCGTAGCTTGAGCAATGGTCACTAGGTCAGGGGCAGTGTGCTTTTGCCCCTAGACAACTCTACCATATGGACAAGGGAACTTTTAGACAAGTGATCTCATAAATCTCAAAGCACTAGCCCCCCTGCGCCAATTGCTTTAATCAAAGTTTACCTTTAAGGTCAAATACCAAAAGTAGACAAAAGATTCATTATACTCAAAAACACTTCACAACTTGATGACCGCTTCTCAACATGCAATTTAAGCTACCCACCCAAATTTTCCAAGCAAAAAGTCACTAGCATGCACAAGTACAATAACTTCATCCTTGTTACCCATCGAATAAAGGACTAGAGCTTACTTTAGGATTTGGGCTTGCTTTTGGACTCCCTACTATCATTAAGCCATTGCAATCTATAGGGTGGTCGTGAGAGTTATGTGATGGCCAACTTCAATCTCTCCACTATATTGCTATAAGTGGCCAAAACTCACAGCAAGCTACAGAGGAGAAATTGATTATATGCATTCAGTATGATGGGTACAATGAAGTTGCCATATTATAACAATTAGATACCTGAAATAAAAAATCTAAGTGAACGACAAACAAGTCAACCATATGGGAAGTTTGAAGGGGCAAGCAAATTAATAGGTGGGGAAAGTGGGGTCCACCTCGTGGGCCCAACCCTCCAATCCGCCAATGATATCCTTAGCTGAATCGAATCCTTGCTCCTGGAGATACTTTACAGCTCTTTGAGAATCATTGCCTCTTCTACAAACAACGTATAACTGAACACCATCACTGGAGCTGGAGGAGTCTGAATGTTCCTTCAAAGCTGAAGCGATTTCATCCAGCCTACCCTCCAAACTCCCCAGCGGCACGTTCAGGGAGTTGGGAAGAGAAACAATCTTGAAATGGTGCTCCGGACGAACGTCCACTAGCACATGTGCTTCACCATTACCAAGTCGATCCCTGTACTCCTTGGCGCCTATTCTCGAGTGTGGCTCCAGTAGTTTTAATCTCAGGGGAGACTGCATATCAACAGAGGGGAATAAAAGGTTTGGTGCATCCAACCGACCAATGCATGACACGTGATATGAATAAATGAAAAGTATTTCCATATGTGTTTCAAATAGTACCGTAGATAATGGGGACTGGGTGAACTTTTCATAGTCGAATTCTCGAAATTGCTCCGCATTGAATTTAGCATTCTCTCCACAAATTTCACACTGCAATGACCTTCCACGAATCTTGACCTGAATTTAACTACAAATCTTAGCATGACTTTGAGAAGGGAAGCAAGAAACGGCAATCCAACACAAAATGGTTGATCACTCAAATCAGCTCAAAAGTCATTCAAGTGGAGAATAAGTAGAGATTAACTGGGAATGCAAAATTGCAGAAGAAAACCACTAAGATCGTTCCATTTTCTATTTTCTTTTTGCAAATGAAGAAAGGTCATTTTAATTTATGATAAGAAAACAATAGCCAATTGGATCTAAGAACCCTTATGGTTATGCAAACCCCTAGATCACAAATGCTAAAACCCCCAAATCGAGATGATGTCAACCCAAGGAAGAAGTTAGAACGGATTTACCTTGATGATCAATATCAAGAGTAGAGAAAACTTGTTTCTAAACTCAAGATTCGAACCACTCCACAAATAGCTTGATCAAGACTACTTGAATGATTCTAGCATGCAAATCTAACACTCAAGAATTGCAAAGAAAAACAAGCTCTAGGCTTTTTGAAACAAAATAGCAACTTCATTCAATCATCAAAATCTAAATCTGTCTTTCAAAGGAAACAAGCTAGGCTATTTATAGCCTCCAAAACAACCCTAAAAGTAACCTAAAGGCATTTGAAAGGTTGTAATTCCCAATTACATGATGGCCATAACATCCACTAGCTAAAATGTAACTTTAAAACACATAAATGAAATGTTTAAAACTGAAAATATAATAAAAAGATGTTTAAATCCGAGAATTGAAGTCTTGGTCACCCTTCAAAGTCTTTGTAACCTCCCAATTATAAATGAAGCTTCACTTGAAGTAGTTTGAAGTGTAGTTCCATTAATTGATGGATAACTTRCAATAAATGAAGCTTGAGATGCACTTAAGTTCATTTAATGCAACTTGAGTTCCTTGAATTGAACTTGGCTTTATTGAATGCAACTTGAGTTAAACTCCACTTCAACTTCAGCTCCTTTAAATGAACTTAGAGTTCATTTAATGCAACGCCTCCCTTAAGCTCTACTTGGAAGATATTGACTTGAAAAGTTCCATCTCTCTCTTGATCATCCCTAGCCGAGCTCACCAAGTATTGAACATGAGAAAGTAAAGCTTGTTGTAGCYTCTTGGCTCTTGATCTCGTTATGGGTCCTTGAGGCATGACAATGGTGCTTCCTTGGTTCACATCAATTTACCCTGAATTTTGTAAGGAATCTCGAGAAGATACATCTAACACCCGTCCCTAAGGTTCAACCAACTGTTAGTTTGTTTTAACAAGACTTCACCAAAAGTGTTGTGAACCAATGCTAAGTTAGTGAAACCTAAGCATGAGTGCATATCTATATCATATCACTTCTTTGGGGACCAAGCAAAAGGGAAGGAGATATGGGGATAGTTAGTGGCTAAGCAAGCAAACCCCCTTCTTACTTCACAGGGTAATGGTATTTTCTAGGTTGTCTCATTCATGTTGGAATGAGGAGAGAAGTTTTCTATCCCATGAAAAGCTCTATGGCAGAGAACTTCCACTGTTCAAATTAATTCCTTCCATATCCAGTCAGATTTATATTTTTAAAATAATCAGTAGTTAGAATGAGCCTAACAAGGTCATCTTCCCAACAGGGTGAAATGTGATTAGTAAGAAGATATCCATGGTGTTAACAGTTAATAGCAGAATAATTAATTGTTCATAGGAAAATATATATAAATGTGAAACATACAATTCGGATCCTTGCTGCTAAGGCATCAAATAGAAGCATCCGTCCAGAAAGCGGCTCACCAACTGCACTTGCTATTTTTATAGCTTCCAGCGCTTGAAGACAACCAATGATCCCAGGAACTGAATAATAAACCGAACAAAAAATGTGATTTTTGAGGAAAGCTTGAACATCAAAATCATATTACACAGGAACTAGAACACACTTTATATTGCACTACTTTTCATTTCTTGTTTCTGCAGTAAAGAAAATAGTGAGAGCATTCAAATCATCAGGAGTCTGAGTGAAAGAATTACTGGGCCTCATGGAAATTGAGACAATTCATCAACCTACCTACTCCTAGAACACCACTGTCAGCACACCTTTGGCATGCAGTTGTTGGCGGGGGAGTTGGGAATAGGCATCGGTAGCATGGACCACCATTGTAATTGTAAACTGTGAGCTACACCAAAAGGAACAATAATAAGATTGATTAAAGAATTGGTTCTGTATCAGACATCATAAGCTAATTTTTCATTGTTCTACAAGATGAATTTATTAGATTCTGGAATAATACAGTGAATTCAACTGCTTAGAGTACCTGCCCTTCCAAACCTAGTGCTGCACCAGACACAAGAGGCTGTAAGAAAATTATAGCATTATTAGTATTTGTCAAGGAAGGGTGCAAACTCAGCTCTTTAATTATGTCATAGCCAGTTAAACCAATAGAACTTACAGTTCTATATTTATATGAAAGAGAAGGAAAAAAAAACAAAATCCATAATTTTCTGCCTCACATTTACTTACTAAGAAGTATAGAATGCATCATTTACCTTTCCCAGCACCACACAACAATCACTAATCATGTACCGGCTAGGAGCATTATCTGTTGCATCTACTATAATATCATATCTAAGAAGTTTTTGCAGTTAAGAAAATAGTAACGGTTCATAACAGCAAACTGTAAACTACAGCAGCAGGTAATTTAAAGATAGGGTAAGAGTAGAAATATCAAATACTAAGGCCATTGCAAAAAGGATACTTGCTAAAAATTTCTAAAGCATTTGACGTGCGAAGAGCTTCCTTGTGTTCAATAATCTGAGCAGTAGAGTTGATCCTAGGATAAATGCACGTTAGTACTACCAAACCATGGTTAATTTATAAAATAAGGCAGGAAAAGAAATTCAAACAATGCGGCGAAATGTCAGGTGGTAAAACATACGAGTGACAAGTAGCAGCAGCAGATTCTACTTTTGACCGACCAATATATGCCTCAGTGTGGATAATCTGAGATATAAAGTGTATTTGCAGAAGTTAGTACATTTATAATTTTGTAAGAGAATCATATTTCCTGAAACAGTGGTCTAATAGTTTATAGAACCAAAAATATCAAAGTACTTAAATCTGAGCAACTGACATCAAGTTAAAGACTTTACCAGAACAATGTTCAACCATTATCACAAAAAACAAACAGAAAAAAGTGTACCTGCCGATGCATGTTATTTAGTTCAACTACATCGTGGTCAACAATTCCCAGACGACCTAGAATTATAATTCCAAATGAATATACGAGTTAGAAAACATAAAGGAAAATCTCAAATCACCACCTTTCTTGTAGATGGAAATTAAAAGGAATTAATCAAAAAATAATATAATACACAAACATCTACCGCTATTACATTCCATCACCACTTCTAATCAAAATCATCTTACCAACACCACAAGCTGCAAGATACAGTAAAGCTGGCGAGCCCAACCCTCCCGCTCCAACTACTAAAATTGAAGACTTCAAAAGCCTCGATTGTCCTAAAATCAACATAATCAGTTATTAAAACGTCGACAAACAATCCATTAAGAATTTTCTTTTATATGTGTATCTCTTACGTCCTTGAGGTTCTCGCCAATGTCATTGTGCAGAACCTCATTTTAACTTCAAGTTAATTAATAAAGCAGTCAATTCACTTTAAGTGTCGAGAGAGAGAGAGAGAGAGAGAGAGAGAGAGAGAGAGAGAGAGATAAATGACTTGCGTAATTAAGGCAATCCATTGTTGAAAGAATTTAGTAAATTCAATTTAAATAAATAAATGTGCAAATTTAAACACAAACTCAGAAGCCGCACGAAATCATTACTTCCATATTTTAGAGTATTTGAATCAGAAAAGAACGAATTCATACTGAAAGCGGACCTTGTACTCCGAAGGAAGGAAGAAGAAGGTGCCGACTGTATCTGTAAATCATATCGGGGGACAATCCATGAGGAAATCCGGACTCGACAGTGGATAGTGAAGTGCAAGAGCCGTTAGAAACGCCATCGTTCTGGTGATGATTCAGGTCGCGGAGCTGGGATTCGAGAGCCGAAATCCGACGTTCTAAGTCAGACTTGGCAGATTTCAAAGTCTCGATATCTTGAAGAATACGAGAAGATTCCGTACTTGTCAAGCCCATGCCGATAGGTTGCGAAGTTCACAAAGGGAGTGGGAGAAATGGTGGAACACAGGAACCGTATAACCCTAAGAACATGGAAGCAGAAAATAAGCGAACGAGAGTTGAAAATCAGTCGAAAGACGCCACCTTCGAGTTGACTCGGGAAGGTATCAAAGTAAGCATTAAATCGGCTGGAAAGAACGCACCCCAACCGCCGCTACTGGTTGCAGTCTGCCGTTGGGTTCGCCGGTGATCGCCGCCGTCGCCGGAGGGAGAGCGAGAGAGCGAGAGACTGGTGAGGAAAAGGAAACCGTCGCCGATGGAGAGAGGGCGCATAAGGTTTTGCGGAGGGTGTGTTTTTTTCGGTTAAAACCCTAAAACCGAACCGTCTGTTGGGTTCGGGTCGAGTCGGTTTCTTTCGCCCTAGAGATTTGAACGTGGTTGATAAAAAGATACGAGTATGTTTCATTATTTTTTGATAAATTGCAAAACCCACGTCTGAACTGTAATAGTTGTTGCAATTACACCCATCCACTCTTGATCGTAAAAATTTAACCCTCCAATTTAAATAATAGTTAAATCAATTAGGTTAATCTTGGGATTAACTTCTCCTTCAAAAAAACAAATTCTGGTTTAGAAAATAAAAAGAAAAACAAAATAAAACCCTCCATTAAGTTAATGGAAGCACAAGTAAGAAAGTTCTTATGTGGAGGGAGGGCGGAAACGAAGAGTTTTCAAAATTTCCAAAAGAAGAATCGATTCTAAACAAAATCACTACTTAGATTCCAGTTTCGATCTTAATATGTTTGGCTTGGGAGTGTTCGATGGTAAGCAATATAGATCGAGTACCATCTTCTTATGTTTTCTCCCTTTTCATAATTTTAGCTATAGAATTTTGAATACGGTCGGGTTTTGATCTTTTCTTTCTCAATTTTATTGTTAAATCACTTGATATTATAGTAAAAATGGAGATGGAAGGTTGTTGAAATTTTATTGTATGTTCACTTGAGGTTCATATGAGGAAGTAGACGAAACCTCTGTTTTTAGTATAAAAGAAACACTCGTAGAATTAATTATTGTCGTTCAAGTTGAACTAATTTTGTTTGAGAAAAATTTGAAACATGTATTTTTTAAAAAATAATTTCGGATGAATTCCTCTTACGAAGGAATGAACTACGATTTTGCTGATCGAGATTAGAGGTTCTTGAAATTTATGCATTGAATTTTAATCTCGTTTTATTATTTTATTTCGAATACCTTTAGAGAGTACTCAATATATTCTGCAATTGCTAAAATTTGAGTTCCTATTAATTAATGTTAAAATTCAGATATCTTTAGTGATTTTGCTATCGGTGGATCGAGATCAAGATTTAGGTTACTCAATCTTCTTAATTTTGCTTCACCAATTAGTGCAAATAACTTGTATCAATTTGAAGCTATGTATGTGGAGAGCTATGGTTTTGTTTTGACCCAACATGTCTTCTTTGATCTTGTAAAAGTTGGGAATGTTTTCTACCGATAAGTTCATTTTTGTTTTTTGTTTTTCTAATTTCTTTCTTGTGCAGGTAAGACTTGGGCAAGTCTTGGATGCTGGTAGAGTTCTTTGACACATTCTGCCCACATCATTTCATCCAAACTAAAACTTTCTACATCACATCATTTAAGTCGGTATGTTAGTACCAAATTTTATTTTGAAATCTAATATATATATATATATATATATATATATATATATATAATCTTTTGAGTAACTACTGTCATCAAGATTGGAATAATTTACACTAAAATCTATCAAAGCGAGCATAGCTCAATGGTAATTGACATATATCTCCAACCAAGAGGTTGTGAATTCAATCCTCCCTCCAACATTTTGTACTAAAAACCTTTTGGTTTGAGATATATGTCGATTACTGCTGAGCATTTACAAAAAAGCAACATAACATTTCCAAATGATTACCCATCGAAATAGCACGATTATCCAAACATCTTTATAAGCGCCAACACTCATCATAAACAACACGATTATACAATCCCTAACAAAAAAAAGTTTGGTATAAGAAGAAAACCCATAAGAAAATAGCACAATTGGCTAAAAAGTAGTATCGATACATTATTGTTACATAAAAAATAGCATGATTCTTACCTATACCCAAGTTACTCACAGACCCCATCATGAAATATTTTCTCCTAATTTGGAAAATAAGGAAGGACAAAAAAAGAAAGAAAAAACTACATTATTCATATTGAAAATACATATGCACGCATAATCTTGTTGGGATAAACACTTAATTTTATGGACCAATTATCCCCTCTTGTATGAACCTAATAGAAAATAGCAAGTAAAAATAATTCAAACAAGCACATGACACAAGCAAATTTAACGTGGAAAAACCCCCTCAATGTGAGGAGTAAAATACCACAGACCGAAGTCAAAATCTCCACTATAATCAATAATGGGCTACACCAAGTTCTCACCAAGTTCTCCCTAGCAACAACTAGAGGCATACAATAATAATATCTCGAGACAATAAATTTCGGCAAACAAGGGAATACATCGGGGAAGAAAAATAGAAAGATCTCTGTATCTGACTGTAGGCAGCTCTAAAAGATATCTCACTGTCCAAATTGAAGACCCTCGTGTTGTGAACACATTGTCAAAATTTCACCTCGATCGGACCACGGATCGACCTCTGATTGTGCAACAAACGCTAGTAACGCCCTAGGATTTCCATTATCCAAGATCAGGGACAGTTACGAAAACAACCTAAAAAGTTCTACTTATACAAGAGGGTAAAACTACTAACCACTCAGACTAAGCACAATTCAACCATTTTAATTGCTCGGCTTAAACTTGTGAATATCACACCTGACAGACAAACAAAACAACCTGTCCTCCGTAGACAAGTGACACAATTCTCATCTACTTGAGTTAAAGCTAAATAAACTTGAGTAAATGGCAACAATCCAACAACCTATACGACAGTAACTTAACCAAGCAAAAAAAATGTTATAGCAACCAACTAAACGTCTAATCCATCACGCTTCTGCTGCGCTACTCTAAATAACAACATTCACAACAACTTAACAACTAAAGAGTGTATCCAAGCTCCAACTTCTAAAGTTAAAAAATTTTAAAATAGATAAACTTAACATACTTTTAAAGGGTCTAATGACCCAACTTCTAAAGAGAAACCAAACTCAATAACAAGACAAGCTAAAGCTTTTGCTGACCGCATGAACTTTGCACAGTCAGGGTCCTAACAGAGTACATAACTGAAACAAATAAACTCATAATGACCTATCATAAACCTAATAAAGCTAAACAGGAACTAGCCATGGTATTTCTCCTTGAGTCTCCTCCGCACCATCACCATGATCGTAACTCGTATCCTCACCTGAAACAATAATTGTAGGGGGGTAAGTATATAAAATACTCCGTAAGTAGCCCTCTCTAACTACACACAAATAACGTGCTCGTAATAGCAACTATGATCAAAATACAATAGCTAGTAATCATGCAACAATAGGTCATAACGGTTATCAATACACACACGCAAGCATACAAGGTATCAAGACTCAGTAACTTCGACCACACGGTCCGCTGATCTCTAGCTCCTCCAAGCTACTTCTAACCCATCACACTATGTTAGTCCTCCAAGTCTAACTCTTTGAATCGTATTGGCCCTTGACCTTTTGTACCCAAGGCCCCGACACTCCTCTACAGAAGCTTGGTGTTCGACTTTGACCTTTATACTCGAGGTCTCGAACTGTGCATCAACCCTTGACCTTTTGTACCCAAAGCCTCGACGACTACTCAACGTATTGGTCCTTAACCGCCACCACGTCAAGACCCAATACTCATCATCAAATAGACTCATCATGCCGACCCCCGACCTTTTGTATCCAGAGACTCGACACTCATCTCTACCAAGACTGGTGTATCGACCCCTAACCTTTTGCACCCGGAGCCTCGACACCCAATAATGACGTATCTGCCCCCGACCTTTTTCACTTGGGGCCCTAACACTCATCCAATATCCTTTTCGTAGCAAACCAACACTTACATCCCATTCATAGTTGTCAATAATGATCCTAGCATAAGTCATCACATCATGCTAGTCACAGCAAGGAAATCTAACATGTTTATATCAAGTCAAACGTAACCACAATCAGTCTTTCCATAATATTAGGCATTCCATTCACATGTTTAGCAACAACACACCACTTTCCATCATGCTAAAAGATGAAGCAAACCCAACATATTTTAACCGACAAGTATAATACATGCATAATGTCCAGAGATCATTCCATAACATTAACTCACAACAAGCCAGTACATATTATCAAACTAGGAATAGTCATAAAGGATCATCCAACATATCCAAGAAAATCGACAACAGTCACACACAGAAAACATAAGATCCAACGGATACCTCACAACATTCTAGCTAACCATAACTAATCTAGCTCAGGAACAACAGTCAACAATTAAGAACACCAAGTCCAACATTGACAAATATAATAGAATCATTTTTAAAGTCAAGAACAACAAGATACAAAGCCTGCAACGATTAATAAAAGTAGACATACAAGTTTAGAGTAACGAAAAACAACAACGCAAAGACTTATTCGATAACATCAACACATAATCACTCACACACCCGCCCCTAGTACTACTTACACCGGCCTACAAGCTCCTAACCTTTGCGTCAATTCGAAACCCACAGAACCTCGTTGAACGATGGTGAACGCGTTGGGACTTGTAAATCTAATGCAGACAAGGTGTGGGTAAGTGCCGAACAGATGTCGAAGAGGATGAGTATCGCAAATCGGCTTCGTACAAGGGTGGATGTCACGAACTGAGCTTCAAATAAGAGTGGGTATCACGAATCGGACTTTATTTAGGTGTGGGTCAACACCGAAACTTGCCCGGAGGAAGAAAACATCGTAAATCTGGGCCAAACACGAGCTGGTCACTTCTGTCGGTGTCGGGGAGGGGTGCTGCAGGTAGAGGCACTGCACGGGGTGTCGGGTTTTGTCGCCGGCCATTCGGGTGCTTAAAGGCTCGCCGAGGTCTGCGTCTTAAACAGCCCGCAATGCCACTG